ATTTGGCACTGGAAAACTAAAAAAGAAATCAGAATCCTTGAAGGATACTTTTAAAGGTCAGTCTGTTCAGGCAGATTTTACTTCTAGCCTTATTAAGGTACAATCATTTTTTAGTTCTGGTTAAGTCAAAGAGCTAAGCCTCTTAAAAGTTTTAAAACAAAATGAGCCATTCACTAAATAAACAAACTAATCCAACCTAGGTTTCACTATAACAGCACTCCCTGTGTGGAGTTAGGAGATGGGCACGATGTCATAGAATCCTGGAATCATTCAAGTTGAAAAAGATGTCTTCAGGAACCCCTTCCAACTCAGGACTTTCTATGATGCCAACCTCTACTAGTGTAAAACATGCTCCATTTTCCAAACCACTTCACTGATCATTTTTTGGACAAGTTATGATAAAGGTGCAACATTTTCTATCTCTCGATTTGACAAGAAGGATATTATGGAAGTCTATCAGAAGCCTTGCCCTTGTTATACTCTCATCCATATGGGCAGCTGTTTCATCTCAGAGGTCAATCAGGTTCATACCCATGCTCGCTTTAAGACACCACATTTGAAAACACTTTCTTGTCCTTCATTTGCCTGGAAGCAGTTATCTTGAAGACTTATTATATGATCTTCCCAAGAAGTGAGGTAAAGCTGACCACCTCTTAATTCCCCAGGCCTTCCCCTCCGAAGATGAATGTAACATTTACCTTCTCCATGTAATTACTAAATAACTAAATTAATAGCCATGTAACCATGTTACAATATCTTAGTTTGAACTTGAAGGACACACTAGTATAACAGTTGTGCTCACTCTTACAAAATGCAGAACTTCACCCATCAAAATATAAGAAGTGACATTCTTCTTTTATATAGAGATATAGATACATAATTTTTTTAAGGATTGCTAGACAAATTAATCTTAAACATTTTGTGTGTAAGGTAAATTTTAAAATAAGATTTCATAAATTAATTCAACCAAGTATTTCCTCATTTATATGACTAAACAACACATAACGCTGTATGAGAAATACTATTTTTATTAACCTTTCTATGCCTATCTTACAGCTAAAACATCATACTGTTTTTTCGGGAGTTAATAGCTTTGTTATTCATCAGAACCTATCTACTCACCTTTCAGCATTATTATACCTTAGTTTTCTTTACTGCTTTGAAATGAAAGTATGGAGGAGTACACTCCTCCAATAACCAGTCACTAATTTTCCTATCCCAGGGGCAGGAGGGAAAAAGACAAATAAAAAGATCTGCACAGGATGTTGGGGTTTTTTGTTTGTTAATAATCTCTCTGATCAGAGAGATCACTCACTTACTCTGGTGCTGCATTTATTTTGAGCTCTTTTGTAATTCTCTTTTAGAAAAGAGATTCACTGTAGCTGAAGGAGACCTCATGAAATTCAACAGAGACAAGTGCAGAGTTCTGCACATGGGAAAGAAGCAGCTTTTGAAAAAAAAAAAAAAAATACAGGATGGGCATTGACTGGCTAAAGGGAAGGCCCTGAGGTGTCCTGCTTAAAACTGAGTTAAATGTGAGCCAGCTACATGCCCTGGCAGCAAAGAAGGCAAACAGTATACTGACTGTACTAACAGGACAGCACGGAAGTGATCGTCTTCTTGAGCAGTAGGTTGGAATATGTGACCTCTCTAGGTTCTTTCCAACCAGTATTATTCAATGATTCTATGACTAAGTTGGGTGTGCAAGTAAAAAAATCTTATTAGCCTCTTCTAAATAAAACTTTCTTTATACTCAAAGAGAAATCCAAATTTCATCTGACTGATTTCAAAAGAAATTGAATGTAGCTAACATCAAGCTTGGCAGGGGACGAGGGGATGACAAGGACATTTTTGACCCTTCGTAGTGCATGTTGTCAATTTAAAGCCATCATTCTTAACACATTCACTCTTGGAGGAAATATGTTGTTTTAAAGAAGGAAACATCCTGGTTGGGTGTTTTCACTGTAGCTCCACCAGAAGTCTTGTATTCTTTTGCAGCAATAGGAAGATATAAGCTTTCAAAACTGAATCAAACAGTGTAAAGTACATTAAGTTATATGTCTGTGTTGAGGAAAGAACTCCCTCTCACCTCATGATGTTCTCCCTTTCAGCATTAGGAAATTAAAGCAGACACATCTCATCCTCATGTCCAAAATAAGCATTCTTGATTGGCACAGTGATTCTTACTGGAAATAACAGTTTTGTGTAGAGTAGTATTTGTGTATCAGACAGCTTGAGGATTTGCAGAGTCATGGAAGATTAAAAGTAGAAAGCTGTTCAGCTTTCTAATACTTTGCACAAAACATGAGTATTGCAAGTACTTGAGGGGTACAAACAAAAGAAGGCAAAATAAGTAATTTACTTACGTGAACTTGGGGAACATGCTAAAAGGAGAGGTAAAAAGTGAATACTTGTACTAAGCATGAAAAACCTTTAAGATAGCAATGTGTATCTACCCCTACTTCTGTTTGGTAATTTCCCCATTCCCTGTAACTGAATTGTTCCTTAAAAAAAAATCTATTTTTCGTTCTTTTTGAGCTAAGGTCTGATCAGAAAGAGACCAACATGTTAGGAGGTGTCCTGACTGATCCAAGCCATCTTTGTTTAAGTCTAACCTCTTGCTGTATGTGTCACGTCACACCCAAGCCACAGGGTAGCATACATAATGTGAACAGAAATACAAATGTGACAATCCCATCTGGTAATAACAGTTAAATCAGTTAGTTCTGACAGTAAGAAAATATTGCAAAGTAATGTATCTTCTTTGAAAACAAGGAGAGTATCCTCTTACATGTTGCTGGCTTCAGTAGGAAAGAAGTGAAATCATCTTTCACTTGCATTCCAGCTTGCATCTCTATAACTCTGCACGTAATAGGAAAGCGATAAAGAATTCTTCATCAACAAGATTTGTTCTACAGCCATATGGCCAGATGGGTAACATCTTAATCCCCGATAAATATGAAACTTAAGTATTTAGTAGGAAAACTGAATTTAACTCCATTTCTTTTGCAAATGAAAAATCAGTTTCAGAAGTTTTTCTGTATTATGGATCATAAATAGTAACAGTAAAATGTACGTAAATAGAAAACATGCCAAAAGCACTTTATTTGACCCCATTCAACCAAAAACATCTTTACTTCCTGTGCTCAATTTAATCCATTACAATCTATGAGATTCTGTATACTGAGAAGGTTCGGATGAAAGGATTTAACGTAGCTTCTCAACAGATATTTCCAGGGATTATGGTTCTTTGGTCACTGAGTGCCACTAACTGCATTTTTTTCTGATTTCCTCAGTTAAAAATTTGAAAATTATGAAATTTCTAAAATGTTGCATTTTTTCAAGTCCCAGAATGCCTTCTTTAACAGAAGCAATATAAAATCCACTTGACTTGAGTTTCCCCATAACCAGCATCACTGCTTCCTGATACTTCACCACAACTGAGAAAGCAGCTAAGCATTTTGAAGGCCTGCTAACTAAATGAAATACAATAAACATGACTGTAGACCAACTGTGTAGAAAATCATAATTGAAACATACAACAAAGCAGGAGATAAGACATTTGGTACAGTAGCAATCACCAGCACTCAGCATGGAGAATGCAAACCTGCAGTTTTGTGCATATTTTTTATCTCCAAAAATACAATCAGGGAATTCCACATGGTGGGAGGACAGAAGAGGACTAAAATCTTTAGGATTTATGGGAAACCAGCCTTTCACTCTGAATTTGTACTTTCTGAAACAACTCTTCTGATATGTATTGAGAAAAAGAACAAAGATTTTGATGCAAACCAGACAGTAGATTTCCTGACTCTAAAGAAAATCTACCTCTATCTTGAAATCCAATAAAAATAAGAAGGTAAATCTTCAGTCTGTGACATAAATCTCCAGATAATAAAATTTGACAGAACAGTCAGCACTGATTTTTACATTTTTTTTTTTCTTCCTTTTTCCAAAGTTGTTCATCTTGTAGGTCTATTCATCTCATTTCAAGATGTATCACTTCTCTTCTGCACTGACAGAACTGATACCAAATCCAGTTATTCTGCTGGACAACAGAAGTTTTTTTCCTTTTTTAATATATAAATTACCATCTTATTTTACATGTATTAGAAAATTAACCAATAAACTCAGAATGTAAGAACGAAGTCTTAAAAAAATGTAAATAATTCAAAGGATGATGATATGGGCCTTATATCAAGTATACCACAGATCATTCTGATGCAGCTTAAGAACTCCACACGATCTCTTATTTGGGTTATGTTTAAAATTACTTGCAATAAGCTCAGAGTGTTTCCAGAGACTTCTGCTAATCACAGAGGTCTGTATGAAACATCAGTCAGACTCAGAGTGCAGAGTGTGACACTGCTGCCTACCTATCACATCAGCCACCTTTTGTTCACTAATGTTTTGTGATTTTTTACCACATCCAGTTTGTAATTGACCATTACTCCTTTTATTGTGGAAATGAAATGCACGGTTTGGCCCTGACCAAAACAAGATATTCAGAACAAGTAACATTTTAGCTAATAGTTCCAGCTAACAATGCCATGTGTAAGTTTCTTCACTTAATTTAAATACCCATAACACCATATACACACCCATAACAACTGTGTGTCACCTGCAGAAACATTTAGACTCACAACCTTTCCTGCAATGTGCAACACAACTAGATATTCCACAGTCCCAACAGTTCTTATGCTGCAGCTCGAGCTATAACATGTTCCAGTCCTTTGATGAGATACCTCTTTGAAAAACCACACCAGGAAAACAGTTTCACAGTCCACTGAGAGACTAATCATTGCCATGCTGAGCCTCTCCCTGAAGTCCTGCTGCAGAAATGAGGTCCACAGCAGCTCTACCGCCTATCAGCCTCATCTGGCAGAGCAGAGACAGGATTTCTGCTTTAGCTGAGATGAAATAGCTCTGTTTTCAAGTTAGAACTAGGATTTCTGTTAAGGAATGCTCATAAAGATTTTTGTGGCATGCTCTAGGCTTACCTCCTGGACAATGCCTCACAGCCATTTTACACCGTCTGGACTCTGCGATGGTTGGGCACGGTATCGTGTCTTTCGCTGGCTTCTTCACTATTTGCCTTGTTCTCGTTTCCAGGCCCCACTTAAATCCACACGTTTTATTGTTTCTGCTGCAAGTTCCCCATTCACTCCACTGACCAACTTCACAGCCTTCTGATAAAGCAAAAGAAAACCTATTAGATATTCTTCTGGTTCTCTCCTTCTCTTATTAAGTTTTTTTTTTTTTTAATTAGCAAGGACCACTTAAATTAGAATGTACTACTTAAAAGATTTACTATTTACTGGCAAAAACATAGAAACAAAATACCTCACAGAATCTGAAACAATCTTTTCAGTCTATACCACCCCAAGCATAAAAGAGTTACACTATCAATCTGCCCGTATGGACATCATGTCAGTCTCAAAGCCTTCCTAAAATCCTGAGCTTGATTTAAATTTTTTCTTTTTGATAAATCCTACTAATTTGTAACCTGGATGTGTACATCTCAGGAGTTCACATTTCTAGGTCCTCTCCACCATGAAACAAAAGGACTTTTCCTGAAATGAGGAGTCTGTTCTGATAGCTCCCACACCTCAAGGTAAAACACCAAGCTATGAGACTCACAAAGTTGCCAGAGCCAGCTCAGAGTTACAAAGTAAATTTATACAAAAAAAAACACATTTTCAGTTTTACATTCAAAAAAATAAAAAGTCTGAATTCAGTGCTACAGATTTTATAGCCTGCAAAGAATTATCTACTCTGTTCTGAATCAAGAGAGTCAAAATACAGAAGACCAACTTGAGTTTCTACTGCTCACTCTCCTCCAGTTCACACCATCTCTCTCATTTGTCCTGCATGTGGATGTGACCAACTATATGACCAACAACTGTATAGTTGTACACTATGTATACAACTATACAACTATAGTTGTAAGTCCTGCTTACAGGACTTGTATTTTTTTTTTTTTTTAATTTCCCCCTCCACCAGCAGAATAGTGTTGGTTATAGAATGAATGCCCAGTACAATATGTGTGATACAATGAGCAACCCATATGGGCTGCTATATCCAACTCCTTTGCTTCCTGTTACTTGCAAAATAGAACAGGGGAGAGCTGTAGAGAAACTAAAAGTGACTCTGATGCCCAGATATTGCTGAGCTTCATGAACAGGGCATATGATCCAACTTGCCCTGCCCCTGGGTTCTGGGCTCCATGAAACAAAAAAGGAGAAGGTGGCTTATGGAGATGAAAATTCAATGGGCATTCAAGTTCTAAGCAAAAAGAGGCCTTCCTAAAATCTTACAAATTCTGAGTTACAGATGTACATACAAGATGATTTACAGGACAGAACTTTCAGATGCTGAACAGCATTCCCAGTGTATTCTTTCAAAGTTTGGGAGAAAAATATATATTGCTATGGAGATAGAGATCCAGACACAATCTTTTGGTAAATATTTCTTGATAAGAATCATAGAATCATTAAGGTTGAAAAGTCCACTAAGATCACTTAGTCCAACCATCAACCCATCACCACCATATCACTAGACCATGTCACTCAGTGCCACATCTACCCTTTTCTTAAGCATCTCCAGGGTCAGTGGCTCCCCCACCTCCCTGGGCAGCCTGCCCCAATACTTTACCACTCCTTTTGAAAATAAATTTTTCCTAAACCCAACCCAAACCTCCCATGGTGCTACTTGAAGCCATTACCTCTTGTCCTTTCACTGCTACCTTGGAGGAGAGGCTAACTCCCACCTCACTACAACCTCCTTTCAGGCACTGTAGAGGAATTACTAAGTATTAGCTTAAAAGCAGTCATCAGCAATCAAACCTGGCCACCTGGCAAAAAAAAAAAAAAAAAGTGGCTTCAGCAGCACTACTGGACTGGAAGACTCACCCACACACTCCATGAGTTCTTCCAAGGCAGCAAATCCAGGTGGGCAACCTCTGAAACAGCGGCCTCTGTGGGAGTAGAAGCCAGCTTTGCATTTGGTGCAAAAATCTCTGCTGAAGCAGGAGTCGCAGTTTTCTATTCTGCATCCTGAATCAAAAGGATCATAAGGAACAAAAATGCTGCTAAGTTAGGGGAAGCTTTAAATAGAAAGGATTTATAAAGGAATAGCAAAATCTTATGTACTGTATCGAGAAATACTGCCATCCTGAAATCTATCCACTATTTAGGAGAAACCAGTTAACTGTATCGCTTGTTCCATACGTCCTTTTAATTCTATTGTATAATAAACAATGTTGATAAAGCTTCCAATTAAATGACTTCTGAGCTGATTTGATCTTTTTAGAGGAAAAATGTACATTATTTTCTGTTTAATTAATATTAAGGAACATAAGGCAAACAGGTTATTTTGGGCATTAGATCTGCACTGCATGTATTGCAATTGATTTATTATTTATCATTGCAAGCAGGATACAATTTTTTTCCCGGCTATTTCCTCTATAAATAATACATGAAAACATTCATTTAGCTTTGTTTGAGTTCCGTATCTATACACGTGCATTTCCTACCAGGCAAAAACAAATAATTAAATAGAACTGTTCTGGATGTAATTTCTCTATTATCATTGAAGTCCATGCATAAAAGATAACCGTTATTAAGTGATTGAAAGACAAAGCAATAAAAATAATGGGGAAAAAAAAACTGAAAATAACAAAAAAAACCCAACTATTGCCTTTTAAAATATAGAATTTCACTAATAATTCTGGACAACTATCCTCCACAGTAGACTGTGGACTCAGAAGCAGACCATTCAGAAATTTCATATTTCATACTAAAACATGGCAAACTGATAACGAAATCGATACCAACAACAATATGCACCCCTGTAAAACAGAAATACTTCCATGGAAAGCTATGGAAGTCTCTCATACATACATAGAAAAAATGCCTGGAAAAACTTTCAGAAGTGAAAGTCATTATATTTGAAACAATAATGAACACATTAGAGCTTATCATTTTTTATCCATTCCTTAAGCAAATGTGCTTAATTCATGTGAACTACATTAATTGTATCCTGTCTTCAGCTGAAGTTACAGCAGTAAGCATTTGTTACTGGTTTCATGTAATGATGTACTAAATGTTTTGGTCATTCATGTCATACATTTATTTTTCATTCTTCTCTAAAGCAATAAATAAATAAATAACCATAGGGACTTCTGAAATAGCCATTGGTACTCCACCCCCTGCATGGCAAATTTAGCCAATCTTTATGAAACAGATTTTAATATTTATTCATAAACTTCAGGCTGTAATAGGGCATACCATAACACTTAAACTGAATGGTGAGAAATTGCTCTGTATAGAAACTTTCCAAATCAGATTTCTTCTGACACTGGACAAGAAATTAGGCAGACTGCATAGAGGGGATTAAAAATAATAATAATAATAAAAAAATGTTGGCACATCTTTGGTGTAAAAAGGACTCACAAAACAAAATTTGAAGTCTTCCACTGCCAAAGATACACATTTAGTTGTGCGGAGACAATCACACAACCCATTTGCTAGCAAATCCAGTGTACAGCATTTCTGAAAGGGATTCCTAGAACTTCTGTGCATAGCAGCAGCAAAATTTGCCTTCTTACCCACAGTCTTCCTTTAGGAAATTCCCAAGATTTACCACTTCCTTCTCCCAAAGTTTGCACCAGCCTCCAAAGAACATAATATCAGTTTTCATGCAACAAATACTTCAAAGTCACTTCCCTAGGTGAATGTGTCTGTAAGGGAAAATGATAAGGCGGGCTGCTCTGGAGATGTACTGCAATGGTTAATTGCAAATCTGGTTTGTTACACTCCACATGTACTGCAAATATTTTATTAATTGCAATGCTTGAATCAAACATCCACTGAGTTTAAATATTCAGAAAAAAACATTTGCCTCTTGCACACCCACGCAAGGCAGTTAGAAAAGACATCAAGGTTTTTCCAAACCAGTTAGTCCAATGATGAGGTGTAGAACACCAACATGAAAAGAAAAATTAGCATCATGCAACCCTCCCTCACATCCAATTGATGCAAGTATATTTTTGAAATAGTGCTTTAACTATTGCTTTCAAATCACGTTGGAGAGTGATGTGTTTAAAGTCTATTCCATTTGAACTCTTTGAGATGGAAGAGCGATCAAACAAAGAACATCACCTCCTGATAACGTATAAACACACTTATCAGGTGAAATCCTGCCTTGTCTTACACTGGGGATACCCTACAAAAAACAACTGCTATTTAGTACCCATGTGAATATCCTATATTTAAACATCGAACTACTGACTCAATCTTCTACCAGTTTCTTGATCAAACTTCAAACTCCCATCCTATTTATATCTTTTGCTTTGCTTTCCACGTGAGTTTTATTTTGTGTTACAGTAGAGCCTTTGCCATGACATTTATATTTTGAAGACATAGTAGGAGCTGTTGGGCTATGGTTAAGGTTTCAAATATGAAACACCTATTATTTAATCCATATAAAATGCCATTTTATATAAATACAGTAAAATAAAATCAGAACATTTTTGAAATTGAAGTATTAATTCACCAGAGTGATAACCATTCCTGGAATGTGAGATTATTAGGTGCTACTTGTGATGTTTCAAACCATTAAAGATGCTCAGGCAGCTCTAAGCCTTGCAGGACAATTCCAATCAACTAAAGAGGTAAAGAAAGTATTCCAAAGGTTAGAAATGCTAACTTTCTACAAGTCTACTTTCAATCACAAACTATCAGAGAAGTGGTTATAAAACTGAAATTTTTAAAAGCATATTAGTTTTGGTGTCTGGTTTCACCTGATTATATAGTCTAATGCTTTGTAAGCAAATCACCTTTACTTATTTTTTGAATCAATGTGATATTAATAAATTAACTGTTTCTGAGTTTAATAAATCAATAGAGGCATTTATAAAATTCTTTTATATCTACATATATCAACACGGACAGAGAAAGAGATAGATTTTCAGTTGAAGATGTAAAGAATGCTGATTCTCTATTATTAAGATACATTGGTGTGCAAATAAATACAAGGGCTGCTCCTATTTTATTATTATATTTTTTTAATGTTGACCCACAACATCAGAGGCAGATGTTGGTGGTACAGCAGTAGATTCTGAACCTTCCCACCAACATCCCATTACATGTTGTTGCCATGAGACAGATGGCAGCAGAAGGGAAGTCTGACAACATGATATCTGACATGGAAGTGCCTATGAAGCCAAGGTGTGGAATTGAAAAAACTGCACTCACTGACAATCATCAGTGATTGCTGAAGCAAGTGTATGCAGATCAAACAATGGATGTGAGCACAGTGAGGAAGCACGTGGTGCATTTCAGTAGTAACAGTGACATGAAAGAAAAGTCACATTCCAGATGGCCATGCATAGCTTCCACACCACAAAATGAAGAGATTCTTGATCAGCTCATCCACACAAACCAATGGATAATGACCAGAGAGCTGAATGTTGGCTTCAGTGCATTGGAAATGATGGTGGCAGTGTTGGAATATCACAATTTTTTTGCCAGCTGGGTCCCTGCATGTGTGCAAATGCACACACAGAAACAGACAGAATACTGTATGCATGTTTGTCAGGATCTATTGAACCAAAACAAGGCTGAAGGTGACTGTTTCCTGGATCCAATCATTATCAGTGATGAGACGTGATGTCACCTCTATGAGCCAGAGCCAAATCGGCAGTCCACAGTGTGACAGCATATAAGTTAACCATTGAAGAAAAAGCAGATGAAGTGATGTGTGGTGCTTTTTGCGATAGGATATGGATGATCCTTCTGGATTTCCCTGGAACCTGGACAAACCATCAACTCTGACCACAACATCATGACACTTATTAAACTGAAGGCTCAAACTTCCAGCATCAGGCCAGAGGAGAACACAACCTTTCTCTTGCAAAGATGATAACACCAGGCCTCGTGTCAGCTTGAAGCCCATAGAGCATATTGCAAATTTTGGCTAGATTGTCTTATCTCACCCACTGTATAGTCCAGATTTGGTGCTTTCTTACTCCCATCTGTTCAACTTCCTAGCAATGACACTGCTGTAGTAGCTGTGAAAAAAATGGACCATCTCCACACAGGCAGATTTTTGTGACTGCGGCATGCAGTCATTGTTCATTACTGGCAAGAAAACCAAAGCTAGTTGTGGTGACTATATTAAAAATGGTGTTTTGTAGCTGAGAATTTGCTCTATTAAATTGTGCTCTTTGTACCTCTTGTACAAAGAAATAAATAGGAGGCACTACTTTCAAAACAGTCCTTGTAATTAAGAAAAGTAGCATTTTAAAAGTGGTTTTATCCTTTACACAAAGCAACAGAATAAAAATCTGAAAATATTGTTCACAGTAACAGTAACACAGTGATCGCCATAGCTTTCAACCATTTGAACTTTTTCATCTTAGCATCTTATGTCTAAGTGTGGCAAAGAAAAGTAGAATTCTAATTAATTTTCTAAAGCCTTTCAAATTCACTAGTTAATTTTATCTACTGGAACGTGAGACTTTTTTTGTTTTTAATCAAGAGAAGACTCTTGACAAAACCGATTGTGTGGATTCATCTTACTACCTGTAGATCTAATTGCATAATTGAGATTTTACATAGAAGCAGTTCTGTAAAGGAAGGAAACAGATATTCACAACCCCCAGTATGCTTCCAAAATGTTTTGATTTTTGCTCTAAAAATAAACAGAAAATTATGGTCACTATAGGCTTCCAGATAGACAGGGTTAACTGCTGAGAATTTTTGGAAGTAGCAAGGAGGAGCCTAGAAATGGATGCTTTGGAGAAATAGAAGGCTGATGTGAAAGAGAGAATGAACTGATTAATTCAGTAATGCAGAAGAACCCTAAAGAGCAATCACATACTTTTGGCAGGCCAACCATATTTGCAGGGCAACAAGAATCTAGGACACTTAGTCTTCAGAACCTGAGTGAAGAAAAGGTGTTCCATTGCTGCTGTTCCCATCCAGCTAGCAACAAGAAGTCTGCACATTAGAATCCTTACCTCTTCTTTCCCTTGTACTCAATTCTCAGTGGG